TCTCCTTCTTCTCCTTCTCCTTCTCCTCCTTCTTCTCCTTCTCCTCCTCCTCCTCCTTCTCTTTCTCCTTGTTCTCCTTCATCCTCTTCTTCCTTTTCTCTTCTTCTTCTTTCTCCTTCTCTTCTTCCTCCTCCTCTTCTTGTGCCTCCTTCTTCTGAGAAGATCTCACTGTGTAGTTGAGGCTGGCCTTGAATGTACAGGGCTCCCCCTGCTTTAGCCCCCCAAGTGCTAGAGTTACAGGGGTGGGCCAGCATACCTTAGAATTTTCTATGTGAACCATCATGTTAGCTGCAAAAACTAATAATTTCAATTCTCTTTTTGTGACCTATATGCATGTGTTTCCTTTTCTTGACTTACTCTGGCAAAATCTTTTACTGTGGTTGACTGCCAGCTGGTGGTCAACTTGTTACAGCCAGCTGAATTGAACCAGCTTAGTGCTGGGTGTGGAGGCCCCTGGGAGCCCTGTTGCCAGCAGCATGAGAGATAGAACTGCAGGAGAAGCAAGGAGGCTATTAGGGAAGCTGGTAGAAATTGTTGGGGAGCTATTGGAAGTTGCTGGTTCTCTTGGGGTATTCTGCTGGAGGACCTGGTCACCATGGCTTTCCTGATGAACTTGGCTGTTTTCCTTAGAGGAGGAGCTTGGGATCTCAGTGGCACTTAGGATGATGTGGAGCTCTGGTACTTACTTTGAGTGTTGCTTCCTGGTCCGAACTCAGGTCCCATGCCTTAGAATTTTGCTAACACCGATCCTTCATCCAACTGGCACAGACTTTCTAGCTCCTGCCATTGGCCTTTGGGCCTTTCCAGTGCAGATCTGGGGAGCAGGCCTGCATGAGAGTTGGCATGGGCACTGGGCCTCCAGCTGGACTGCTGAGTGGCATTGCTTTGAGCTCTGGGTCATCAGCTGGACTCCTGCAGGGTATTTTCATGAGATCAAAGTCTTCATCTGGACTTTTCTTCTTTAGTGTGTGGATGGATTTTCCACACTGTTTGCATATGATTATTTGGGTGATTCATTATAAAATAATCTTATGAAAGTATTATATTGTTCCCCTTGCAAAACTTGAAACTGTGACACTTAATTAATGTTGAGTAAGTGTGGTAACAGAGAGCCTTCTGCTTTGCCTCATCTTGAGGGGAAGAATTCTGTCTTCTACCATTGAATTAATATTATCTGTAGATTACTTACAGATATTATTAGTTAAGTGAAAGAAATTCACCACAAAAATTTATATTTTTTGAGAATATTGTTAGGTGTTTAATTTTGTACAATAATTTTTTCTATACACACTACTATGATGTTGTGATTTTTAGTTTTAGGCTTTTAATAAGGCAGGTTGCTGTTTGATTTTTGAAACACCAAGTCATCTTAATATTTGGTCATGGTGTACAGTTCTTGTTATATACTGCATAACTCTACTTTTTATTTTTTTCAAATGGCATTTGCATCTATATTTATAAGGGACCTTTCTTCATCCACGTCTTCCTGCTGCTGGCTTTTGCCATCAGGACGCTTGATGCTTTGGGGCTGCCCTCCCATGCCGTTGCAGACCCCGTGGCTTGGGCCAGGTCCTTCTCACCCCTGGAGCCCGGGGCCTGAGCCGGCTCCTGGGCTCGCAGCGCGGCCTTCTGCAGCACAGACTGCAGCCTTCTCCCTGTGCGCTACACAGGCGTCTGCAGCGGAACCTCGGAACGAGGGCACACAGGCACACAAGTTATTCCAAAGCACAGAATTTCACGAATGACATGAAATACACAGCAAAGGGTCCGTCTACTGTTGTGTGGAATGTCTGTGAATTCCTAAGTGCGGCAGAATTCTCCCATAAGAGCACTTAGTATGGAGGCTTGTTTGGCGGGTATCCACTGTGCCAGGCGCAGTATGGGATGGTCAGCACTGCCCGTGTGCTATAGCGGCCTAAGGAAGTGGCTACTCGCTTTGGTTACCAGACATATGACAGCCCATTCTTGTGGCACTGTGCTGCGATGGCTGTCGCGTCTGCATCCTGCTGCGGTGCACCATGCCATCAGCGCATTCGGTCAGCTCTACTAGATGTTTGACAATGTCGTGGGCATTTTCAAGGAACGAGCTCTCTGTTTCATTGTTTATCTCTGTTGCTTTAAATTTCAAACTCAGGGTTTTTGCCATTGTCATCCCACAGCCTCTGCTTACCCTGTGTTGGATTACTTTGCTCTATTATGTTTAGGCTTTTGCAGTGGGCTCTTAGGTCACTGGTGTGAGTTCTCCTAGGTGCTAATGTAATTTTTTAGTGTTATTAATTACCCTGGTGGCACTACTTAGCTGGGTATCACAGATTTTAGCGTGCTGTACTTGTACTTTCCTTTGGTTCCGTGTGTACCCTTATTTCCCTGGGAATGTCCTCCTTGATCCATGCACTTTTGAGGGGGATGCTGTCCAGTTGCCAAGTGATTAGGGATGTTCCTGTCAACCTCTTCCTGTTACCTGTGTCTAATTTGGTGGCAGTGCCATCCGCATATTTTGTACAAACTCCTTCTTGTCAATTTCTCCAGATTTGCTTTTTAGCTTGTAACATGGTGAGTCTTGGTGTATGTTCTCAGGGCATCTGACAGGTAGGGCGTCCTGCCCCGCTGGGCAGACGGCTGCACCGAGGGAGGTTCAACGTCTTGCTCACGGTGCTTCTGAGTTCTCATCCCTGTTGGCTTTCAGCCGCAGGAGAGGCCAAAGCAGCGCTGCTTACCATTCCTTCTGGAGCTGGGTCTGTGCCTCCCGGCAACTGTCTGTGCAGCACTAGGTGACGGGGAAGCCGCAGCACAGAGCATCTGCAGTGGACAGCGAGGACGGCTGCTGGCTCCTCCCCTCTCAGCCGCTGACATTCTGTAGATCAAAGGAAAACAAGAGGAGAGATTGGCTGTTGGAGCTCCTGAAGTTGTAGGCACTTTGGGAGTAGGGGAGCATGCCCGCCGATTTGGGGCTCATCCAATGGAAGAGGGGTGAAGGGAGCGACACAAGGGAAGAAGGAAGACCCAAGAGGGTGGGGCAGGGCACCGGCTCAAGACCTCAGCACACGGGGTCTCCCAGAGATGCAAAGGGAAGCTTGGAGGAGGTGCGTCCCACCAGGAGCCCAGTTTAGAGAGACCCCCTGCAGCCTGAGGACCCCAGGCTTAAGGATCCTTGGACAGCTGTGCCTTCTGCTGCAAGGTGCCTGGCAGACTGGCCACAGCCCTGCCCTGGAGGCTGACCCAGCCCCTGCTGAGAACCCAACCTCTTATGATGAGTACAGCTTGCCCACTAGATGCTTCTGTACCATTTTCTTGTTTTCTCATAAATGCAAGCAGGGAGTACATATAACTTGTCTGCTCTTATGCTTTATTTAAGACAATGACTTCAATATTTGTCTATATCAAATTATGCCCATAGGTTAAAGCCATCTAAATAAAGAATTAATGAATTACAGACAAAAAAAAGTGAAGTGAAAAAGCTGAGATATACTGAATGTACTGAAAACCAAACCAATACCCCTAAAGATGTGTAGTGTTTGTACAAATATTTTGCTAATTAAGCATGATCTCATTTTTATTCTAAGCCTAGAGTTCTGCCTTCTTACTCATCCAGAGTAGCTTTGGCATTTGTGCATAGTGAATCATGTTGATCCAGGCCAGAGCTTTGTGGCCGGAACCTGCAGCAGGTGCTCAGAGAAGTTTACAGCTGCAGAACCTCTGGCAGGCCGGCTGTCTCCTGTGCGAGCAGACATCCTGCCATTGGCTGCTGCAGCACGGCAGTGCCCTGAGGTTGCCCTGAAGCACGGGTCTGTAGGCCATTGCTTTAATTAGCAACTGTTGGGCGAGGTGATGCAAGCAGTGTCCTTTGGCCTTTGGAAAAACTGGTAGGTTTCAAAGCACGGTGACATCATTGTGCTGGTCCGTGCGCCCAGAATTCTGCCTTTATTATGTGGTCAATGCTTTTGAATATACCCAAGTGTAGTGATCTGTGAAATCTATTTCTTATAATATAAAAATGTTCCTTGGTAAATAGATATAAAAATCTATTCCCATGGCTTCCTCTTGAGGGTAATTGCTTTTTACTTTTACACAGTGATAAGTGCAAACCTGCTCAGAAAAATCAATTTGTTCCAGGGAAACATAAGAATGCACAGGTTAAATATGAGATGTGACAACCATTATTGAGTAATTTAGGGGAGAAATAGTACATTGGAATCCCATGAGAAATCATATGGGTTCCCACATGGAGGCTGAGGCAGATATGCCCGGCTGTAGCTCCTCTGCGTCTTCTGTGAAGGTGATGGGCTGTGACTCCTCACAGGGGGATTTGCTCGCGTCCCTTCAGTACGTGGCCGGGCCAGCTCAGCGTTCGTCGTCTCCGTCACTCTCGCTGTTGCGTGGCTACAGTTCGGGCACCCTGAGCGGCTTCCTCAGGAAGCTTCCCTCGCAACTGTGTGTTTCTTGCTTCGGTGCTCTTAGCTTTACCGGGAACCTGTCCAGTGACTCCCTTGTCTTCTCTCTTTTCAGGCTGTCAGGATTTCAGCTCCCCTCCTCCATGGTGAGCACGGGATCCATCCTCACGCTGTGGTTCACCACTGACTTCGCAGTGAGCGCCCAGGGCTTCAAGGCCCTGTACGAAGGTAGGAAAGAAAGCGCGCTGGGTGGCGCTGCCCCCTGAGGGCGGGCGCAGTAACGGTGTTGGTGAGAAGCACCCGCTATGGCATGTCACTGCGCGCTGCAGGCACGGGGGCCCGGTGGTCTGGGTGACAGTGGGTGGCCCCCTCTTGCTCTAATTGCTGTCTCTAGTAAATCCATGAAGAGCTTTGCCTTTGGTGGTAGGCATTTTCTTGATTAGATTGTTTTATTTAACACGTAGTAGAAGCTGGTGGAAAAGCAAATTAGTTGTGCCTCTGGGTGATGAAGGGTTCATGTCCACTGTAGAAGAGTTCTATAAAATTCTGCTGGCCAGTGGTGTTTCTTACTGAGGAAAGCACTGAGGAAGACAGTTTTGTGAAATGAGGTTTTCTTGTCAAAGGTGAAAGTTTCAATGAGAAAAGTAATGTGGTTTTGCTGTTGCTTGATCCTTTCAACCTGAAGAGATTTTGTCTTATTTATTTTTCTTCTCAGCGGATAGCGTGCTTAAGCATCTTTGCATTGGGGTGTTGTTTTAAGCTGGTTGGGTAAAACTGTTTTAAAAAAACATTTAAATTTTGACGGAAGAAATGATTATTTAAAGAATTAAATTTGAAAAAAAATTGAATAATACTTTAGGTGAAGGGCTGAAGTGTGTCTACTTTAGATTTGTTTTTCACCATGATTTTAAATTTTGTTTCGCAAGTAATGTAAGAGCTATCATTTTTAAAGCGGATTTTAGAGGCTGTGAATTCAAAAAGTATGGGTGGCGCTGTAGCCAGTCTGCACAAAGCATGCGCAGTTTACCTGGGCTTTCCTGTCCCTCTGTGTCACGTCTGTGTTGGTTCTTTGCGCAGTTCAGTGCGCTCAGGCAAAACATTCGTTTTGAAAATTTAAAAGTCTGTGTATGCTGAACTGACCTGCGATGCAATGCGGTGATCAGGAATACACGCAGAGCTGCTGCGCGTGTACACTCACTTCTCCTCGCCTGCACGCTGCGGGCTACGCATTGTGCAGTCTGACTGTGGCTTCGGGCTGTGACACGTAGCTGTGCACCAGCATGAAGCTGGAAGGGTCGATGGCTTCTGCGTCGGTTGTTGTCCAGGACTAATCCTGTCTTCGGAAAGCGATAAGCTCCTGTAAGCGACGGCTGCTGTTAGCTTCGGCAGCGGGTTACACTGAGTGCTGCCTCACATAAAGCACTAAGTCAGGTAACGGCTGCTTCCGCAGCCTGGTCAGTGTGTCTGGAAGGCATCCTTTGTTGACCCCACGTGTGTGGAAGAGTGGAGAGAGCCCTGAGGCTTCTGCTTTCAGGAAACCCTGCCGACGCAGCCCTCCCTTCCTGACAAACTCGAGTCCCCAGTGCCATGGTGTTCCGGATTGCCTATGGCTGATCTTGTAGCAACTGTCAAGGCTGAGTAACTACCAAGGGAGTTGTTCTGTCACATCTTCCGTAGACAGTGTTAATTTCACTGGCCAATGATAGCATATAAGAAAAAGTGGAATTCTGAAGGACCAATTAGAACAAGGGCTAGACACGTAAATAGAGCTCTAAATTAGGTTAGATATAGTTTGAAATATACTATGTGAAAAGCTTTTTTATAATATACATTTTAATAGCGCTATTATATTCAGTCTGATATCTACAAGTGCATACAAGCCTGCATTTTGAAAGAAGAAAATAGTTAAAATACAAATGCCCTTTGTTGACAAAGCCAAAATCATAACCAATATTTAATATCTGCAGTTTTAAGATATTTATCAATAAGCTTAAGGATTTTCTGGGAAGAAAAAGTGAACTATCTGGCGAGATGAGCTAATCATAGTCTCAACACAAGAGTGGAGCAGAGGTTGCGTCCGGGGCAAGGAGCGGCCCGCTACGCTGTCAGTGTGTCTGGTTTCCGGGCGAGTCCAGGTAGCTCTGGCTTCCACACAGCACTGTGCGGGAGCTCATGATCTCGTCGTGGGTGAGGACGCAGTGTGCAACCTATCTCCATTCAGACACACGGCGTGTCCCGCAGGACTGAGGGGTGTGGTCCCGGCTCACCCTCACTAGTCTCCAGGACAGAGCCATCTTTTGCTGAGTCAGGTCTCCTCCCATCCAATGAGAAAAGACTGTCCCTCGGGCTACGGGAGTCAGACCACATAACAAGATGTGGATGTGTTCGCCAAGCCTTCCCCCCAAACTGAATTTAGATTTAAACGCATAGATCAACTACGACAGATATTTTCCTATAGTCACTAAAGTAGTGTTGTGCTCTTCCAAATAAAATTAAGATTTCTTATTGACATCAGTTTACAATTTGAAACTTTATCTAAATTCATTGGCTTGAACTGAGAACAACTACCAAACTTCTAAGATGGCCCTAAGCATGGTAAACTTGGTAACAAAGATAATGTGGACACTGAACTCCACTGTTATGGACAGTGCCCTAAAATAAATATTACTTACAAAAGTTATTCATTCAGGAGAATATTAAGTTATATAATGTGTGGATCCATGAAAATATTAATTGAGATTAATGTTTAGTTATTAAATTTAACTCTGTAAATCAAACAATGACATTTATAAATCTCCTCCTGTCATCACTCACATAAAGTATCTGGCATTCTGCACATGAAGGTGCTTGTTAACATCAGTACATCCTTTACATAGATGCAGCAGTGTCACAGTCCTATGTTGATAGAGTGCTCTTGTAATTTTTTTTCAACATTATTCTTCATTAAGCACTAAGAATTTGCTGGGATTTGTTTGCTACATGTATAATAGAGGATCTTAAGGTTACCTATAATTTTCAATTGGATGCACTACAAGAGTGTTCCTACATATGCTCAAGTATGAAGTGCTGTGGTATTTGATTTTGACCTTTCTGATCAATTACGTTATCAAAGTCTCAATTATTAAAATTTTTATGTTGTCACCAAAATTATCTCTATGAAAAAGACGTCTTCTACTATGTCAGGAAATGGACGGGATGGAAACCTGGAGAGCTCTGAAACGCTGGATGTTAGGGGAGCTGCCCACCTCCACTAGGGAAGCTGACCCAAGGCCCTGCCACACTATAGATTCTTTTATTGTCTAATTTTAAAAGAAAATATCTTTATTTTCTAACTTTTTTCCAATCAGTGACATAATAAACTAAACATAAGAAACATTGCTGAATATGTAATGAAGAATATCTTGGATTTAACCTTTTCATTATTTTGATTCTAATGTCAAAAACCTATATTTTCATAAGGAATTTTATTTAGGTTTTCTTTCTCTCCCTACTATGTTGGTCTTTATTTTTCCCTGAAAATCATTTCAAATGTCTCAGAAAATGTTAGAACACTTTTCCTTCCTTAAGTAAAATACCAAGTCTTGTTCATGTCTTAAAATTTCAGTTTTGCAAATTGTTTACCATTATTTAGGTTGATTTGGGGGATTTGAGGGTTTTTGTAGGTGATGTAAGTTTTCTTTGAAGAGGAAAATGTTTCTGTTATCCATAACTTCATGAAAGATGGAGTACTTGTGCACAACGCAAGCCATGTGTGTGCACACAGTTGTGCACCAGGGTCCAAACCAGAGCCAAACATCTGTCCGATAGAGTCGAATCTCGCTGCTGAGGCGTTTCGCCAATGTGCAAGGTGGCTCCGCAGACTTCGGGCTGCTATTCTGTCATCCTGGCAAGGCTTTCCGTAGGACGCTGGCCTTCTGAAAGAGGCCTGAGCCATACGATGGGCGTCATATGTGCGAAAATCAAGCTGGGAGGCAGAAGAGAGATCCTGGAAGATCCTTGGCGTCAGCAAAGCTCATGAGAACTGCACAAGCCTATTTTCATTCTTCATGCCTTAAATATGATCGTTCACCTTGTAGGTGAGAAGGGGCAGGGTTGTAGACAAAATGCATCTATCCAGTATGTTGACAATAACTTACTAATTATGCATGTCCAGCAGTTATCTTAGCTGTCCAAAGAGGCTGTAAATACATTAGTTTTACATTTTATACATAAAATCTCCAAGAAACTGTGGCTGTCATAATTGACTTTAATGAATAAATGCTCAAGATCTAGTGAAGTAGAATCCAACATTAGTAAAAACAAAATTCCACATACGCAGTGATACCTAGATTCATGAAACAATTTTTTTGCAAAAAGTTTGGTTCACAAACAGAAGGTTTTGGCAATATTTTATTGTGGTTGCAAACTCTATATCAAGTGGAAAACACAAATCCGGCCATCTTTCCCATTCCACACAAACACAAGTACCATCACTTTTTCCAACATCATAGAACAAATTTAGTTTATGAACTGAGGTACCAGAAAATTTTGTAACACACACACACACACACACACACACACACACACACACTCAACATAGCTTACTTATTGAAATGAGAAAAGCAATTGCTGGTATAATTAGCCTAATAAATTTCCTTAAATTATAAGAATTCTTCTTTCATTTTCTATTATCTTAAAACATTCACATATATGAAATCATTCATCCCATCAGTTAGGGCAGTTGCTTTACTAATTTATGTGTCTCTCTGTGGCCTGCTACAGAGATGAATGCATGGACATGCAGATGAGGAAGGAGATAGGAGATGGACTTTAGCCACAGAGGTGATACAATGATAGATGGGTCTGTTGGTGGGGCAGATGTCTGGATAGATGAGGGGTAGACAAGTAGAATGGCAGGTGGGTGGATGGACAGCATGGGAGAAATAGAGACAGAGACAAGAGGGAGAGAAGATAAATAGACTGGAAGGTGGATGGATGGATGGATGGATGGATGGATGGATGGAGATGGAAGGGTAGATGGATGGATGGATGGGTGGATGGATGGATGGATGGATGGATGGAGTTAGATGGGTAGATGGATGGATAGATGCATGGATGGAGGGTGGATGGAGATGGATGGGTGGGTGGATGGATGGATATGAATGGGTGGATGGATGGATGGGTGGATGGAGATGGATGGATGGATGGATGGATGGATGGGTGGATAGATGCATGGAAGGAGGGTGGAT